ACCCTTTCACGGTCGATCTTTTTTGAAATTCCGCAAAAAAATATTGGTTTAATTTTGACATCTGACAAAGTGAGGTTTAAAAAAAGGACCACTGGTTGTTAACGATTAGTGAGGCTGCATAGTGAGAAATGTGTTTATAAAATAATTTAAAAAACATTGGATAAGAATCTAGATTTTTTTCCTAATGGCTTTTTTTTAATGAAATCTGTAAAAATTAAGGCTTAAGATGTTATTGACACTGAAAATTTTGTATATGAAATCTTTTACAAAGGATAATTTTGCAGAAATTTATAATTTAAATTGATTTCATATTATACACGATACTTACTTGACAAGTTCCTGTGAAAGACTTATACAAGAAAAAACTTATTTTGAATGTAAATTTTGTCACTTTTTTCCTCATGGAAAATTTGTAAACATGATGACATTCCTGTACAGACTGACTCAAAAGAAGAAAAAGAGGTGACAGAAGAGCCAGAATCTGAAGAAAAGCCAGCAGAGGAGAAGCCAAAGAAAAAGACAGGATGTAATACAGAGGAAATCCTGGCAGTGTTAGCTCATGAGTTAGGGCACTGGAAACTGAACCATGTCCTAAAGAACTTCTTTATTAGTCAGGTAAGGTAAAATTAATTCGTCAATTACTGTATAACAAGAATATATGACGCACTACTAATTTTAGCACCTTTGGCGCAAGAGCCCCTCAGGGCTGTCACAGCACCTTTTGGTACAGGGACCGGGTCCCTCTATATTGGGAAAAATCCTCGACATTTTTGTTGAAATTGGGAAAATTTTAAACATACTTTCATGTATTTAATTAACACACCCCCCTCCCTAAGAAAAACATTTAATCATGAAAGCCATTTATCACTTTGAAAAGTATACTTGAAAAGCTAAAATTTAAAGGACATACGGTCTGATAAAATCTATATTTAACAGACCAAACATTTACTTACTTAGCAGGCCTTTTTTTCCATATGATACAGAGACTGAAAAATGTGGGGAGGGGGTATTTCTTACTGTTTAATTGCATTTGGAATAAATAAAAAATATTAGATTATAAAGAATAATTTATTGAAATTATCAAGTTGATATTAAAAATTTTCCTTTAAAATGTAATATCATAAAATTGCCTAGATCTACAATTTATTCCTTTTTTTCTGCCAATTCTGGTTATTTAACACATGCAAATGAAACAGATAGTATCCAAGATTTTATTTTAACTTATAATTCACTTTAAAATTGTTTATTTATTTTATGAACTAACTCATAATGGTTATCTTTGTTTAATAATGAAAATAAGTTCCACAACCCAATCTACATATGACCTATCCATAGATCTCTATTCCATGACAGAGGAAATTCGAATTAGAAATAAACGATCATGATAGGGTTGTTGCAGATTAAAATCAATCATGCATTACTGCTAAATGGATCAAATAAAGGATCTGTGTGTGGAAAATTAGTTGATATAAACGAGAAAACACGTCTTTGGGAATTTTTAAGTCTGAAATTGGGAAAATCTAGCACTTTGTGCTATTGGGAATGGGTCCGATATTCGGTCCTAATTTGAGGGCAGTGACGGCCCTGCCCCTGAACGCTAAAATTTATTGTGCGCTATATAACAGATTTCTAAATATTATTTTTTGTGTGTGTTCAAAGCATACACAAGTGCATGTAAACTGGAACGCGCGATTACATATTGTCAAAGGGTCATGTGATTTATATATACACACTAGCACTGTAGGATGGATCGAGAAAATTTTGTCTAATTATAATTTTATAAAACTTTTGTTAGTTGTTACCCGACACTTATCATTAGCAACTTCAAAGTTTGGCTTCTCTGCATGTCAATCATCTATCCCCTCATGGTAAACACTAAACAATGCATTTAAGCATGGTTATTGGGGTTGCAAACAATACCTGATTATGATTACCATTTATCCAAGTAATTTGCGATGTTTTAATATGAATAAAATGCATAAATACTCTACGTTTTCTTTTATTAAAAAAAAATTAAGATAACATTGACGTTGTATCAAGACCATGCATAATGTGATTGCAACACCACGGTAAAGTTGACTGATGTTTACTTATAAATTATAAGGGAGTGCTATTGTGTTTCTGGGCTTGAATAATCAAAAAGTCAAATACGGGAGTGAATAAAAGAAAACAATATCACAATTATATATTTTAATGACAAGTGCAAGTGTTAAAATTTATTTGCGTCAATGCATTCCCACTTGCATTTAGACTAAATTATATATGCACCAAATTTTCTTGTTTTACAGTATTGAAGAGGGAAAATATCAAGCAATCAATGTTTTGTAATTATATAAATTTTTTTTATGTACATTGACATTTTTGTGACAAATTAAATTTTATATTAAAAGAAGATTTATTATATTGATTGTTTACTTTTAGCTGGATATCCTTGTCATGTTTAGTATATAGTCAAGTGATTTTAAAACCATAATGAATTAATTGGTCTGGCCTTTTAGGAAACCAATAATTTCGATGTAGGAAACTAAATTACATTTCCAGCGCTTATAGAATGAAATAATTTGAGAAGAATATACATCTGAAATGAAATGTGTACAATAAGTAAAAAGTTTTAAAATTTTTTTTTTTAATTTTTTCAGTTAAATTTGTTCCTCTGTTTCATGGTGTTTGCCATGCTATCTAAGAAAGTGGTGATTTACCGAGCGTTTGGATTTGACACGGAGCCAACACTTATAGGTCTGATGATCATATTCCAGTTCATCTTCCAGCCCTATCATGAGGTTTGTATTAACTTGTGAAAAGTGTCCAAATCCTGATATAGAGGTATTGAGGCAAGAATTGATCAGGTATTGAGGCAAAAATTGATCAGTTATGCACCCTTGTACTTCAATGAATCAATTTGGAGAGATATATTAACAAGTTTCAGGACAGATGATACAAACAAAGAAATGTATGCCTGGATTGAAATGTATATTCTTGAACCTTTTTGGCAATTAGAAAATGTTTCCACAGTAATATCATAGACTTTAAAGTAGCTTGATTTGTGCACTATATTTGGGTAAACAAAAATTATAGAATTTATTCTGCACCAAGAAACATATATGGACTATATGCATTTTTTCTACATGAAGTTTACTACATTTAAGTTAAACCAAGGAAAGTGCCAAAATTAATGTGGCTGATCATTTGTACAAAAAAGTTGTTCCATTGGTTTCATGCAATTTTTATGGATGGCAAAAGTTTGTTTTAGGAGAAATAAAAATGCAATTCATTGTCTAAATTTTAAATGGGGAATGTTTAAATTATAAATACAGTTTGTATACCTCTGAATATTTTTTATTTCAGGTTCTTGGATTCCTGATGATAATCTACAGCCGACATTGTGAGTTCCAGGCAGATTTCTTCGCAAAGTCTCTGAGACATGCAAAGGAGCTGAAATCGGCTCTAATCAAACTCAATAAAGATAATCTAGGATTTCCTGTCACGGACTGGCTGTACTCCATGTTTAACTTCTCCCACCCCCCTCTGTTAGAAAGAATGAAGGCGCTTGAAAAAACAGACTAGAAGAATATTATATAGAATAAACTTTGTCTTTATGTTTTTTTATTGTATTGATGAAAAGGTTAACTAATAAAATTATGTAAATTGGTGATTAATTTATTTTAAGGAAGCAGTGACTGATGAAAGAACAATTTGTGCTTACAATGAAGAGGCACTGAGTGTCAATATAATGAATATAGAATTTTTACTCAAAATATCAATTTATGGATATATCTCTGTACTTTTATCAACACTTTAATCATGCATTTTTGAAACAAATATTAAAGTCACAGACTTCATTTCTACCACAAGTACATTTTAATGTCTTGTCATCCTTGGAGCTTAAGAAATGTTGTTGTACTATAAAATATAGTATTGTTTTTTGTATATAACAAGCAGTTAATCTTTTACTGAAACTGAATCTAATGTCCCATATGTTGAAGGTTTATACACCACAATGTGGCAAAGATGGCCATTTGATGAACCTGTGGAATGTTTATAAATTTTAGCTCAGTTAACAGTTGGATTATAATATTATTACTTCTTTGTGGACAAAAGTTTAAGATGGAGCGCGAAAAAATTTGAGTGGACAATTACATGTATATTTTTTCACATTTGCAGAGTAAGCAGATTAAAAAAAAACGTCAAATAGAGCGGAAATGGAATACGAAATATCACCGAATTCCCATGGTGCGGTAAAATTAAATTAATTTTATTTGTATAGTTTTGTATAAATATAATTGCCCAGGTCTAAGGAACAAAATAGCAACAAAACAAATTATTGGCGTGGCCTTTTTAACTGCTGTTTTTATCATAGATAAATCGCAGAAACATCCTACCTGGAGATATATTCAATCTAAATGGTCAGATATGCATTTCTAAATATCATTTCAATTACGAAAATGCATGTATATTGATTATAAAATCATTCTGCATTATGAGTCCATTGTTAGCTAAACGTTCTCGTTAAATGATAGCAAGATATACAATCATTTACGATTAATATTCTGTGTATAGAAAAGCAAGTCAGCATTTAAATCGACATCTATATTTATCTATATCCAGGAAGTAAATTACAGATCTCGTTCAAGTCTCACCTGGGTTCTCGTCCTAAAATTTCAGGTCTGTCAACAAAGTCATTTTATAGGTCATTCGGAGAAAAAAGAAACTGTAAGTATAAACACATTTTTATTTATTTGAAATCAATCTTTTTATATAATATGCATGATTTGTTGATTTACAGATTTGCTTCGGGATAAATAAAACGGTACATAGACTTGTATATTTACAAACAATTTCAACCCCGCCCCTCAAAAATGAAAGTTATATATAAGAATCTCTGGTTAGCTTTAAGCACTTGCAGTATAGAATATTGTTATATGAGAAATTATGCAAATGTTCTTTTATAAATGAGGATTTGTAGTACCTGTTTGCTTATATTTTCAACAGATGGCATCCAAAATGGATATTCCTCCCAGAGCCCAACATTTTTTAGAGTGTGACATGGGAGAATGTGAAAGAAACTGTGAGTTCTACTGTAACAATTGCCATTTAAGATTATGCAAACAATGTAAAGGAGAACATCTGAAAAGTCCAAAAAAGAAAAATCATGAAGTGGTCCTTTACCAGCAACGCAAAAGACAGCTACCTACAGAGAAATGTGAGATCCACCCCACTAAAGACATGGACATGTTGTGTGAAGAATGCCAAGTTCCAGTTTGTTCCAAATGCGTCACACAAAAAGAACATCGAGGGCATTTATTTACTGATCTGGAAACAATTTTTGCAGAGAAATATGCAGTCTTTCAAGAAGAAATCTCTAAAATCCACGAGTATTTTCTCCCTACATCAGAAAGTTTACAGAAAGAAATTAAAAAAGATTCCTCAGAAATCAAACGGATCATGGGCAACATCAGAATATCCATGAAGACTGAAGGTGAAACCCTGAAAAGTCTGGTGGACACAGTCGTATCTGAGAATATGAAGCAAATAGACCAGATAGAACACTTTCTTTTAGAAGATCTTAAATCCCAAGACAAGACAATGAATGATTACATCACTTATCTTAATAACATTGCCAAAGAACTTCAAAGATGCCAGTTCTCTACAGAACCCCAGAAATTAATCTCCGCGAAGAAGCCAAAGATCCAATCAATACCAGAGACAACCAAACCAGTCACACCAGGGTTTACTGCTGGCCAGTACAGTGAGAGTGATGTTTCCAAATTACTAGGTAAAATACACGTCCCAAACACTATAGGAGATAAGAGAGAAATGAAGTCCATGGACAGTGTTTACTATACAGCAATGAAACCTACACATAGACAAATGAAAGACGTCAGAAAGAAATCTGATATGAAACGATCATGGTCTATATCTGCCTCTGTCAAGAAGGTCAGAGAGTTCAAAGTAGCAGATCTTAATGGTTTATGGCATATATCACTAGGTCAACTAAGCAGACTCTGGATCAGTGACAATCAGAATAACCTTGTACAAACAGATCTACAAGGGAAAGAAATAAAGAGGATGCAATCCAGTGGACAGGATCAAGGTTACCACACAGTCACACAGGACGGTTATCTGATCTTTACAGACCAAGACAAGAAAGTCATCAATAGGATAACACAGGATAATAATATCACTGAATTCATCGAAACTGGAGATTGGGCACCACTCAGCATACACTCCTCCCACATCAACGGGGACTTACTGGTAGGGATGTTGACAGATGAAGAGGCTAAAGTCACCAGATACAACATGACAGGAAAAGAAATACAGAACATACAGAGGAATAACAAAGGACAAAAACTGTATAGTGAGCCACGGTACATCACAGAAAACATCAATGGCGATATCTGTGCATCAGATTGGGATATAGGAGTAGTGGTGGTGAATAAATTAGGACAACACAAATTCTCATATACTGGTGTACATGTGGAGTCATCATTCTGGCCTAATGGAATCTGTACTGATGTTCTCGGTCACATCCTGGTGTGCGAAGGTTCCAAAGATACTGTACATTTCCTTGATCAAGATGGTCAGTTCTTGTCTCTATTACTCACACAACAACAAGGAGTAAAGTATCCTCGTAGTGTGTGTGTGGATGGTGAGACCAATTATCTTTATGTGGGACAACTAAACAAAACAGTGACAGTGTACAAGTATCTTTCCTGTGATTAAAATTCTGTCAAAACATGTATCAAGTGCTGGTACTGCAATTTACATCAATATGAAATGGTCTCCGACATCATAATCAACGATTCATGATTAAACATTATCACACTGACTGTATATTGTTTTTTAATCTTAAGACAACCAATTTAACGTCTTAAGTCTTTCATGTAGTCTCTCTTTTTAAAAATTACATTATCAGAGGGAAGTTATTATTTGTTTGGCAATACAGTAAATAAATAACATTGCCTATTATTTTATGTCTTTTTTGTATCTATAGATTGTTGTACTGTAAAAGCACAAATATTCGCGGGGGATTAAATTTCGTTGTTAACAATATTCTACGAAATTAAATCCCACACGAAATTTTATATGACTATATATTGAATAGGGTTACTTTCAAAACAACGAAATTAAATGCCCACGAAACTATTTTTGAAGACAAAACAACGAAATTTTATGCCCACGAAAATTTGTTTTTCTACAGTATATAATAATCTTATGAGCTCTATCTTCTGAATTTCATTAAATCATAATTTTTTTATATACATAAATTATAATTTATACAGTCACACACTTTTCTCCAGATTACTAGAATTCAAATCTCCTCATGTTAACTTGGAATAGGTATATATTTTTTTTAATTTTGACTCTGTCTCTCTCTCATGTTTTTGTTAATCCATGAAAAATACAAAAAAGAACGTAAGAAATAGTGACATTGACAATTTAAAGTTCACCGTCTATCTTGGCAAAATGCCTGGTGAGAAATACTCCCTTTCAAAAATTTAGATATGATTCGCACTTGTCCACAAAACAAAACTATTAAGCATAATTTATCAAAATGTAAGAAGTGTGAAGAGGATGAGTGCACTTAAGTTATGAGAGTTGGGTCCGGTTTTATGTGCAAAATAAAATCCCGGAGGTCATTACTTTTATGTTAGTTATAGATATTAAACAATGCTTTAAGAGTAGGTATTGATGTAGTATATTACATGAAAATATTAAATAATGCCGAGGGACACTAGCTCTTGAAAGTTTTATCACATTTCTATCGTTATTCATATGCAAACCACTTTTCAACGACATTGCTAACTTCCGAGCCGCAACTTGTCCATTGCAGATCTCATTTGAACAGAATGTATTCACAAGTTTGGCTTTCCAGAAAGCCTTAAATGTCATCTCTTTGGTTTCATTAATGTCACAAAATAAACAGTGGAGTGTAACTTTTTTCTCAGCTACAAGTAATAGCTTTTCAAAAAAGCTTGCCTGACTAATGCAATCAATATCTATAGATCCTATAAGCATGATAAGTTATTTACGTTTACATGGGGGGGGGGGGGGGGTTAATTTTTTAACTAGAGTAAATTAAGAAGACGTCGCACAAAACATCATGCATTAATTTCAAGTTGTTTGCTACTTATCAAAGCAATGGATAAGGAACAGTGAGATTTTATACAAAAAGTATATTTGGTATGTGTTAAAATTTGGTTTTGTTCTTTTTTTGTTTGTTGTATAAGGACGCCACCACTTGCCTGTGGAGGGCTACAAATACTTGGGACTCAAGACGAATGAGCAGTTACATGTATCTTTTTCGTGCTAACACCTACTGCGACTCGGGACTTGATTTTAAACGGTCTTATCCCAAGGACCGATCTCAACGTCCCGCAATGGATTCGAACCCGCGACGTAAATATCAGCTCCTCATTCCGCGACTCTATAAATGATTTAGAAAATGTAGTAAATACGGGAAATGAACTAATGTAATTAATGTATACTGGAAAGCCGTGGATATGTAAAGGTTATATATTTCTTTTAAATTAAAACTTTAAAATTAGATTCATCTGCATAGACTAATAGACTAGACTGTCAGGAAGACAGCTGAAAATATGATAACTACAAGAAATAAATGAATCGTTATGATTAACATGCAGAATATGTTTAAGTACTAAATTTAAACTTTAAAATTAGATTCATCTGCATAGACTAATAGACTAGACTGTAAAGAAGACAGCTGAAAATATGATAACTACAAGAAATAAATGAATCGTTATGATTACATATGTAACATGCATGCAGAATATGTTTAAATACTAGATTGTTGGGTATGCCAGAGCATCAACGATTGTTGGAAACAGCCCGTTATACAAAAATGACTTAACAAACTTGACGGTGATTCCTTATATTCCTCAATCCTGGAATAGGAGGAATACTTTTCCAAAGTCCATTTTCTGTCTTTCATAGGAGGAAGAATTTTATCTCTGAAAACTGGGGGGGGGAGGGGGGGGGGGCTGCGGGTCCTGGTGAGATATGATCAGAACTATTATGTACATTTGGCCAGTTTTCCTCTTGAGAAGTTTTTTTTCTGTTCGTTTTATTTACTTTAAATGATGTAACTTCTAACTTCTTTCACAATATCACCGATATGTTTTTTTCCAAAGTTCGAAATTCTGATAAAGAAGAACATGCTTGAAGTTTTCATTTCCATTCAGTAGAATCATCCAGGAAAAAGGCGCAAAGATATACACGTGAAATTTGGCGCAAAGTGATTGTGACATGCCTTATCTAGAAGACAAATGGACTAACCCAATAGTACAGAAACGCAGAAAAAGGTCAAACGGACATGTCCGTATATGAAATCGCAAAAAATAAACAGCTGCATGCAAAAACTAATGTTATTAAAACATCAATTTATTATATCCGGAAGATGGTTATTTTTTCTGCTAAATATTTTGTTGAAACGCGGGTAACAAATTCCAGTGATAATCAGCATGCACAAAACTTTGCTGGCTTACTGTGACCTCTCAGCTTCGCACCTTGGAAACATTGATCTTTATACAGTCTGACGCCGTGACGTCAGGCAATTACAGATTTTTCTACTCTTCTAGGGAAGGGGAGTGGCAGTTTACCTGAACAATTTTAGATTAGGAAAAAGGGTAGTGATCAAACTCCAAAATCCTATGCTGATATGAAGGGAATATTTTAACTTTTTTTTATTTTTTCGACAAAAAAAAAATCATTTTGTTAGTACATGACTATACTCAAACAAAAAGTGTGGATAAGGGAGGGGCTGGCATTGAACAATTACAGCAGTACAAAGTTAAAAGGGCTGGTACACAGATTTGTAGATCTGATTTTCTAAAATTGTCTTGATAATATCATGATTCACAGTGGCGTAGCATCGTTTTTGAAAGTGGGGGGGCCAGGCAGAGAAAAATTTTTTTACTTACCTGAAAAAAGTTGACAAGCAAAAAAAAAAAAAGGTAAAACTTGCCCAAAGTCGAAAATCCTATTTCGTGGGGGGGGGGGGGGGGTATTAAAGTCAACTTTTTTTCAGTGTCAACTACTTTTAGTACCAATTCTTATACTACATTTTCGGTACATTTCTAAAAGTGGAGGGGCCAACCAGGCTTTCAATTAACATTTCCTATAGTGTAAGTAAGGTTGGGAAAAAAAGTGGGGGGGCCAGGCCCCCCCTGGCCCCCCCGGATACTACGCCCCTGATTCATATGTTGCTAAAGCATTTTTAAAACGACAAAGTTTGGGACACGTTTATTGACATATAACCTAGCACTTTCACAAAGTAAACTTAATCCATATATAGATAACGCTTAATGACAAAAATGTCCATTATCCCTTTATAATTTTGTCAAGTTGAAGAGTTTCTTTGTCCAATTTTGCCCCGTAAGCCATGCTCTAATTGTTTGAATTTTACTTCGCATTTCCATTTCCTTTGAATTATCATAAGAGTAATAATTTTTTAATTTAAAAAAATGGTAATTTCCCACTAAGCAGTATTTGTAAATTTGTAAAAAAAAAAAAAAATCACAAGAATTAGTATGGTAAAATCGTAGCCTTCATTTGACCTTACATACATGTATTTCACAGCTTCTTACTCTGACAGCAGACAAAATTAAAGCGCTAATCAAATAAGTCCAACCCTTTCCAAAGATTTCCCGTAAACTTCCCATTCCTTTAACAGGTCGAGACCACTAGATTTTCCGACGTCAGCATAAATTTGCATGTAAATTAAATATCTCTTTACTTTACCTATTGCTGAATGAGCCGCAATGCATTGTGGGCTACTACAAGTACCCAGCTGTGTTGAAATTAAAGGGCAACTTGAATTGTCCCTTGCAATCTTATTTTCAATTCTTTTTTGATACTTGTGAAAGAATTATTAAAATAATGTATGATCTTTCATTTCTATTCTCACATTTACAAAATTTGCTTTATGAAGCCTTATATCAACTTATAATACCTCGGCCAAAACCATTGTTTAAAGAGACGTAGGTTCGAAAAAACAATTTCATTTTTTTCACGTGATATACGTATGCATAGTCCCATTGTGGCCCCGCCCTACCCCCGAGGGTCATGATTTGAACAAACTTGAATCTACACTACCTGAGGATGCTTCCATATAAATATGATCAATTATGGCTTTGTTACTCTTGAGAAGAAGATTTTTAAAGAATTTTCCTGTATACATGGTATTTTTATGCAAAAAATTGGTCGGCCATTGTGGCCCCGCCCTTCCCCCGGGGGTCATGATTTGAATATAATTGAATCTACATTACCTGAGGATGTTTCCCCATAAGTTTCATCTTTCCTGTTCCTGTGGTTCTTGAGAAGAATAATTTTAAAACATACCACCAAATTTTCATTAATTCCCAATGATCTCCCCTTGAATGAAAGCGTGACCCTTCATTTGAGCAAACTTGAATCCCCTTCACCTAAGGATGCTTTGTGGAAAGTTTGGTTGAAATTCTCCCAGCGGTTCTTGAGAAGAAGTCGAAAATGTGAAAAGTTTACAGACAGACAGTCGGACGGACAGACAGACGGACGCCGGACAAAATGTGATCAGAAAAGCTCACTTGAGCCTTCGGCTTTTCCAATGAATCATTGTCCAATGAATCATTATCATTGCCGCGCAAGATTCCAAAATCATACAAAGCCTTTTAAAAACACATAGAGGCTATGCTCTCTCCTCTCTTCTCCTCTCCCCTCTCTCTCTCTAAGAGATATGGATCTTTTTATGCTACTAAAATTAAGAAAAGAAATGTCAAGAAAAAAATGATATTGTAGTTTGACAATTTATTCAATGCACAAAAAAGAAAAGAAAAAAGAAAAAAAGCTAAATATTTGTTGCAATGTTTTATTTTCCAAATGATTTAAACTTTCCAAAAAAAAAAAAAAAAACACACACACACACACACACAAACTGTATTTACAATGCCAGAAGCATTGCTAGGAGATATAACCATCTCTCAAAGATTTTGAAAATATTAACAAGAGCTTTAATTAAGGAATATGTGAATATAGTTATATGTGTTATATAGCTGATTGCTTGTTTCTACTAATCATATTCTGTATATTGTAAAGTCAAAATTGAATAAAAGAAAAAATAAATGAAATTAAAAGATATATGTAAAAAAAAAAAAAAAAACTTTAAAAAAAAAAAGGGAATGAAAAAATGTCCTGTACAAAAAATCCGCAAACTCTCAGAGTGTATAGATTCTTCATTTTGTCAGGATTTGTGCACGTATAAATATTTTTCCTAGATATATAACTTTGAATACCGGTCGATAAATTTTAAGCAAAAAGAAATGAAATGCATAAAATACTAATATTCAATGCTCAAAAATCTATTTTAAAAAGTCAAAGAAACGATCACGTTACACAATTGTGTCTGAAAATATGTCTATAAAAGATTTAAATGTTTAAATTTTTTTTTCTCAGTTGTGACAATGAAGTTTTTAGAAATAAAATAAAAAAAAGAGCTTGTAGAAATATTTGATAAATTTAGAGATACATTGTATCACACACAAAAAACCATCATTAAAATAATAGAATAACATGTCTAGCGAGCAGAATTCTGCCATGTTAACAAAATAATTACAAAAACGTGTACACAACTAAATTTCACATCTTAAAAACAAAATGTTATTTCAGCAAAGGTATCTTTAAACTGAAATGATTTAAGGAATCACAGCATTTTTTGGAGTGTGACATTGAAGAATGTGAAAGAAACTGTGAGTTCTATTGTTACAACTGCCATTTATAATTATGCAAAGAATGCAAACGTGAACATTTGAAAAGTCCAAAAAAGAAAAACCATGAGCTGGTCCTTTACCAGCAACGCAAAAGACAGCTTCCTGCGGAGAAATGTGAGACCCACCCAACTAAAAATGTGAACATGCTCTGTGAAGAATTCCAAGTTCCAGTTTGTTCTAAATGCGCCACACAAAAAGAACATCGAGGGCATTTATTTACTGATCTGGAAAAAATGTATGCAGAAAAATATAGAGACTTTCAAGATGAAATCTCCAAAATCCACGAGTACTTTCTCCCTACATTAGAAAGTTTACGGAAAGAAATTAAAAAAGATTTCTCAAAAATCAAACGGATCATGGGAAACATCAGAATAGCCATGAAGGCTGAAGGTGAGACCCTGAAAAGTCTGATGGACACAGTCGTATTTGAGAAAATGAAGCAAATAGACCAGATAGAACATTTACTGTTACAAGATATAAAATCCCAAGATAAGACGTACCATGGATGATTACATCACTTATCTTAGTAACCTTGCCAAAGAACTTTACGGATGCTTGTCCCCTACAGAACCCCAGAATTTACTCACTGAGAAGAAACCAAAGATCCGATCCATACCAGAGACACAAAAAACCCAGTTACACCAGGATTTACTGCTGGGCAATACAGCAAAATTGATGTCACCAAATTACTTGGTAAAATACATGTTCCAAACACTGAATCAGAGAAGAGAAAGATTACGTCAACTGCGTCAGTCACCATGCAAGGTCAGGGAGTTCAATGTACGGGGTGTTTATAAAGAATACCAAGTATCACTAAATCAATCAGACAGACTTTGGATCAGTGACAATGCTGGTTATCTTGTCCAAATAGATCTACAGCGGGATGTGATACAGAAGTTACAGACCAGTGGTAAAAAAGGGTATCATACACTAACTCAAGACGGGAATCTGATCTTTACAGACAGAAACAAAAATGTCATCAACAGGATAACATAGGATAATAATATGACTGAATTTATTAAAACTGAAGATTGGAAACCACTCAGCAAACACTCATCCCATATTAACGGGGACTTACTGGTGGGGATGGACAAAGGTAGTGAGGCTAAAGTTACTAGGTACAACAAGACAGGAAAAGAACTACAGAACATACAGAGTGATGATAAAGGACAGGAACTCTATGGAATACTCCACTACATCACTGAAAACATGAATGGAGATATCTGTACATCAAACATTAGTAGGTCAGTAGTAGTGGTGAATAAATCAGGACAACACAGGTTCTCCTACACAGGTCAGAAGTTAGTGTTTCACCCCTATGGAATCTGTACTGATGTCGTCGGTCACATCTTAGTGTGTGATGGTGTCAGTCAACAAAGGGTAGAGTTTCCCCGTAGTGTGTGTGTGGATTGTGAGAACAATCTCTGTTTGGAACAATTAACCACCAACATACTGACAGTGTACAAATATCTCCAGTGATTATAAATGTGTCATAGACATGCATCATGTGCCAAGTATTCGTAACTACATGAACATATTTTGACTGCGCTTATTAAATTATACTTTTTTATGATGATAAAATTTGACTGCATATTTTTCTTAAGGTAAAATGAGTTTGGTAATTATTTGTGCTATCAAATTATCACATATTGTTTTGAATCACATGAATTGATATAGAGTAAGATATATTCCAACCATTCTTTCTGTGTGGCTTGGTGTTAAATGCGGAGGATGGAGTCTCCACAAAACTCCAAAATGGAGGGTCAGAGAGTGCAAGGGGTGGAGCCTCTTGTGTTAGATGATGCAGGAGGTGGAGCATAGTGCTTGTCGTAAATTTAGCAGGTGCTTATTAAATCTGTCATCTCATTTTCTGATACCCCGTGAGAATGTGTTAGAGTGTTACATCACCCAAACAATTAAAAAAAATAATTTCATTGAAGCTGAGTGAATGAAACTCAGTTATATCTCGATCCAACCTGATTTTGTGATGACCATTTGACAGTATCTGATGACATTTGTTTATAAAGTCCATAAAATACTATATGAGAAACAAAGAAACAGCAACAGTAATAAAAAAAAAATAATGAACACCACATTTCAACGCGGGGAACAGCTTTGCTGATTATTTAATTTTTAACGATAACAGAGACTGACTGAAACAGAATAGCATCAAAATTATTATCTTTTGGTGATATTATATACAGATATATATAAATAGACTGATATGTATATAAAGGTGTCAAGGAATATCGGCCTCATTACAAAACACCTATTACCATCTGAAATCTGATTGCTGTCGAAGCAATGTCCGATGTTGGAAATGTGCCGTGATGTCATTATTCACTCAGAAATATTATCCCATTTTAGAAAAATTAAAAATAATTAAATAATAGATTCAGTTAATGAACTGATTGTTTTATTGGAGAACTCTGGCCATTAACTGTTTTTATTTTATTTTATTTTTTTGCTCTAAAAAGAATGAGAAACAAGCAACATGATAAAGAGACAACAAAATGAGAATCGAAATGACCTACAGATGTGAGAAACAAATGAGGGGCATGCAGCCCGTGCTTGTGATTTAAATTTTGTTTTGCGATATCACAGATGCTAAGTGCAATGGAAACTGTCTGATTCACACTGCTATCTCGCAGTAACCCATGAGGTCTTGACAGATTTTATTAGTATAGGTATCAAATATCTGAAGGGCCAAATGTTAAAATTGCTAAGGGCTAGATTACCTAAACTTCTAGGGAAAGATGACAAAATATTGTCCCCTCATTTGTTGTTGATATAATTGAAAGTCATGTTATATTTTTTGTGCTAAATTTCATTTTCAGTTGTAATTTAATTGTATCTTCTTTTTGTGGTTTACACATACAGAAGCTTTAGCAGCTTTTACAGCAATGTGAAATATACTTTTTAATTGTTGATAATTTGCAGACAAAGTGATCTGCTATATGTTATGCATGACATAATTATCTGCAATAAAATTTTTGGGACATACCAGTATCTAGACTCAGTAATTAATTCTGACAGACACTTTTTATCACCGATGGAGAGCTCTACAAGCAACCCAGTTGTATCCAGCTTCTAAAATGATTGAAAGATAAAACGGGCAAATGTATAAAAACTGACACAAGAGGCTCCACCCCTTGCACTCTCTGACCCTCCATTTTGGAGTTTTGTGGAGACTCCATCCTCCGCATTTTACACCAAGCCTTTCTGTGTATGGATGATATACTGTCCTGTCCTAAAGATTTTTAATATGAATGGAATAAGTTTTGAGACAAATATCTGAATTCAGATTTTTACAGTGTTATTAAGACAATTTATCAGTAGACTATTTAATCCTGATCAAATGGGTGTTGCACTGTATCATTAATGATGCATATTTTAACGTTCAGGTTGAATTCATGCATTTGTCTAGTCCACCAGTCAAGGGTCCCATGAGTTATGGGATGCATGTATCAATGTGGCAGCTCTGTTTAATGTAATTTAATATAAGCACTGGGTGTGAGAGGGATAATCTTGAGGTTACCCCTTCCCTTCTTTACTCTCATAACCTAGTTTTTGTGAAAATGGTCGCCCCTCCTACATTTTTATCACAAAAAGGTATATTAATTAACAAAGTAAGTCGTTATCCATCCATTTCAATTCTTTTACTGCCTCTGATGCATGAAAGCATTGAGAACATACGCAGATCCGGGGAGGTTTGGGGAGGTGAACGATCCGATTTATGAAATGCAGTGTTTATATTAGATGGTAAGGTAACAAAAATTGCCACGAACCCCCTTTCTTCCCCCAAAATAAAGGATTTTCATGTGCACATGGTAAAGGCGTTTTGTTCTTGTTTTTGTGTGATTTTGAATCATGTGAATCTCAACAAATTTTTGATTTTTTTAGGGGGGGGGGCTTTGAAGTAAATCCTTGCCTTGTTCCGGGATGCATGCTTGATTAGTCTGTCGTTTTTGATTTTTTTAGGGGGGGGGGGGGCTTTGAAGTAAATCCTTGCCTTGTTCCGGGATGCATGCTTGATTAGTCTGTCGTATCTTAATTTTTACAAGCTACGCACTACCAATGCATTTATTTCACTCTCTGTCATTTAAAAAGAATCGAGTGATATCGTTTAGTTTCTTTGGCGATACAAGCTAAGTGAAGGGACACATCAAGCGGAGGGCCCTGACAACCTTTGTTCTCGGTCGAAGTGATCAATTCTTTTATTGATGCCAAAGGACACCAGGCTCGTAAAATTCCACTCCTAGTTTAATTATATACTGAAGACCTTTCCTGTCCAGGGCGACTCGCAGGTTTTATGTAATGGCTCTTTTACTCCACCTGTATAAAATGCAATCAGAGACAGACACGTACAATCCAGTTTCTGACTTACCGCCCTGATCGCTTTTTAACACATCCTAGCTGAAGCTGTTCATCATATTTGATATCCCTTCAAATTTTGCATTGCTTTGAATTTGATAAGTATAATTAACTATTCTGTCCTCCAACGCTCTTTAATTTCTTCATACATATTAAAAACCATTTCCGATCTTTTGCATAATCTTTGAATTTTAGTTATTGTAGCTTATTTATACCAACAATAAACTGACCTCTGGTGATCTCAATAATACTGGTTTCTCCTTATTCCTAAAAAAATACTTGAATACCTTCTGATAACCAATTAAACAACCGCATTCCAATGAATCATTGTCTTGTGGCCGTGAAGTTGAAAAAAGGCGAAAATTCCTTAACTTTATATGAGATTGCAAAGAGAAGTAATGTAACTGCTGAAATGTTCCCCTTTTAAACTATACATACTTGGGTTAATAATTGATTTTTTTTAAAGAACAAAATCCTATAACGAATTCTATAACACATCAATCAAAAGATTTTTTTTATATTGATAGCTTTTTAATTAAATGTAAAACAATTTATTAATTAGGGAAATGTTACGTCCTACTAATTTGAAGGATTTTTCCAACTGTTATCATCAGATAACGTACTTGTCTAGTAATTAGATTTAACCAAGATAGAAAAGTCCCAAAGCATACAGAGCCATGAAAATACATAGAGGCATGAGGCCTTTCTTTCTCTGTGCGAGAGATTTAGTACCCTTAGATTTTTTTTTATAAATTTTTATTACAGTTGTACTTTACGAATAAGTATTCTTAGTTTGAGGAAAACGTTGGTTTGTTGGGATATTTATGATTTCATATTGGTAAAAAATGTAAAATGGTCATTTAAAATTTTTTTTTTTGAAATCATGTATTATTGCTTGCCACTAAAATAAAGAAACATAAAACCCAAGTAAAAAATGTTATTGTAGTTTAACGATTTATTCAATGCACAAAAGAAGAAAAGTTGTTGTAGTGTTTTATTTTTCAAATGATTTTAAAGTTTAAAATAATATTCTAACATTGTGTTTGCTAGGAGAAATACTTAATTTATGTCAAAGGTTTTGAAAATATTAACAAGAACACTAATAAAGGAATAAGTGAAAGAAGATGTTATATAATTGATTGCTTGTTTCTAGATCTTCTATTCGTATTCTTCATATTGTAAAGTCAAAAATAAATAAAAAAAAAATTTTAAAAATATATAAAGAATAAAAAAGAAAAGAAAAGAAAGAGAAATAATAGGAAAGAAATTAAATCTTGTCCTGTACAAAAAACCCGCAATCTCCAAGACTGTAGATTCTTGATTCTTCTTTTTGTAAGGATTTGTGTAAGTATGAATATTTTTCCTAGATTCATGTATATAATTTTGAGCACTAGTCATTCAATTTCAAGCAAAAAAAGAAATTAAGTGCACAAAAGACTAATATTTAATATTCAACAAATTAAAAATCTATTTAAGGAACCCCGACTCTCAGCTAGGATGGACAACTCTTTAACTTATAATTTAATTCAAAAAGTCTTTAAATGAAGCTTGAAAATTAAATCTTTTCATGCAACAATTTTCATTATATGCCTCTCAATGTGCTTCAAGGTTCTTTGAACTTCTCAGAAAGGACTAATTAAAAGTAGAAATTTTTATCCCGAAGAAGCATTTTTAGATACCAATGTCTATTAACTGGATATGAAATTAGAAGTGATTAATGGAGCTTTGCAAAAAAACCTTGAAGCACATTGAGAGGCATATCATGAAAATTGTTGCATGAAAATATTTAATTTTCATGCTTCATTTAAAGACTTTTTGAATTAAATTGTAAATTAAAGAGTTGTCCTTCCTGGCTGAGGGTCAAAGTCCCTTAA